TATTTTTCATAAATGAAAATAGAGGTATAGGGATTTTGTTGTTTCCAACCTTTGGGGAGTGTTTGTTACACACCATTGGATACCCTAGCTGTCACCCTCTTCTGTCTCAATTGTGTGCCCATAGGATCTTCTTTGTACTCATCCATTGTCATCACACACACTGATTTGTTTGAGAAATATATCATCCCCCCCAAAAAAAGACAGATGGACACAGGCTGAGGACAGAAGAACACCCTGTCCCCCATACTTACATTTGGTCTGAGTTCAATCCATGCTTACTCTTCCATGCTCCTCCTCTCAGTCGTCCAGGGTGAAGCCCCTCATGTCTTGGGCTGCCCTTGGCAATTGTCACATCTGGACTCAGGCAGGATTGGTTTCTCTGTTACTAGAAAGCCCACCATCAATATCAGGTGAGTAAGCAGGGTAACATCCTCAGGTTACTTCAAATGAACATAAGATAGCAAAAGTTAGGGAAATACTGCTCCCTAATCCCAGACTTTGTCCTTTGAAACCTTTTCACAATGATTTCCCTGCTGGACTCCTTTCGCTGTTACTGTTACAACATTCATTTTCCAACAACAGTCGGGAATCTTATGAGATGAGGTACAAGCCTCTGCCACCATCTGTCCTCAGAGGTCCCCTTCAACACTCAGGTCATTCCATAGGCTTCCTCTGAGGTTGGGATAACCACCCCGCATATCCAGAATGACTGGACTGGGTACTTTGGCAAAATGTCTTGTTTGCCTCTGCTCCCATTTCATATGCTAGTCTTCTCCATTCTTATTTTCTAGTTTGATGAATATTAGCATGGACATAGGGCCACAGAACACAGTGCACTGAGATTTCCACAGGGTCAGAAGAAGCCATCAGAACCCCCAGAGCTGAAGTTACAGGCGGTTGTGAGCTGTGTGATGTGGGTGCTGGGAACTGCACTCCGGTCTCCTGGAAGAGCAGTAGTGCTCTTAGTTGCTGATCATCTGTCTCTCCAGTGACTCAGAGGGCTGTCTTCTATTTCTGAAACAGCCTCATGTTTGAACTGTAGAAGAGACTGGCCTCAGGCCACTCTGTCCCTGACCTCAGCTAATCCTTCCACTGAACTTGGAAGGCAAAGCCTATCTTTAGGTGAGCAAAGGAAGGGGTCTCATGAATCTGACACACAACAAACATTCAACAAGGTCATCATGTCTGATGCAGGTTCAGAGCTGCTGTGCATGTCCCTCCCTTCTTCAGGTGCCCAGCACTCTCTACTCACCCCTTCTTCAGTTCTGCTAGACCCTTTCCTAACTTCCTCCATACAGGCTGCTTAACACAGGCCACTGTTTCATCTGCTTCCTTAACAGTGGCATCTGTTGGTCCTTATCTCTCCCTCGTCTCTCTCTCTCTCTCTCTCTCTCTCTCTCTCTCTCTCTCTCTCACACACACACACACACACACACACACACACGCACACACACAAGCGTGGGAATTTAGTCCATCTGGAGGACTATGAGCCCTGGTTGTCAGTGATGACCTCAACCTGGGCTGCCTGTTTCCCTGAGGCTCTAACTAGACAGTGCCAGACCTCAGAAGCTTTCCACACTTCTCTTCTTCCCTAATACTTACATTTACAGTTAACTTGAAAATTTCTCAGATGGGCTTCCTGCTCAGCTGTTAGCCTTGGTAGCCTTGTGGAAACTCCTGGTGGGAGGCATGTATTTAGCACAGGATCACTAGTCTGTGGTTGCTGGGACAGAGACTAAGAAGAATATTTGCTTGTGTGAGTGAGTGAGTGAGTGAGTGTGTGTGTGTGTGTGTGTGTGTGTGTGTGTGTGTGTGTGTGTCACAGAACCTGTCCAGTCCAATGCCCCTCTCACAGCCTTGGCTGGGAAGTGGCTACTGGCAAGCATTTCACCACTGAGCAACACTACCAGGAAGTGGCTGTTGATTGGCTGTGCACAAAGGTGAAAAGAGACCAGACCAGGACTGAACAGAAGTGGGGCCTGTTCATGCCAAGGCAGGTCATCCACCTAAGAAGACCAGAGCTTTGGACCAGAATGATGTTGTAGATATTGAGTAGCTGGAAGCAGGGGACCAGAAGGGGCCAGGGAAGCCATCAGAGGTCCTGGTGTTAGGACTGTCACCAGTTGGTACATCATGATATGGTCTGAGCTCCACCATACCATACTGGTGCTTTCCTTTCCCCCCACCATGGTGCCATCTTGGTTTCCACCTGTCCAGGTGGGTTTGTGGTCAGGGGTTTTGCTGTCTTCTGTACATTTACCTCAGATAGGCCTATGTTCCATCTTGCGCTAATTCTCAATCTGTTCTAAAACAAGGTGGAGGTTCATGTTTGGTGTGGCATGTGGAGTGGCTAGTTTTCTGTGCCACATGGTAAATGACCACACTCTTACTCATTTGATAAATACACACTTGTCATCTTAGTTCCTGGGGCTGAGACGTTTGTGTGGCTGAGCCTCTCCCAGATGACAGCCAGGGTGTGGCCATGTGATGTTCTCTCCTCTGAGGCCTGGTGACAAAGAACACACTTCCCAGTTCATTTGAGTTGCTGGCAGAACTCATTTGCCTGCAGTTGTAAGAGCAAGGGCCCAGCTTGTCACAGGACATCCTCTGTTCCTATAGGCTCCTGCTTTCTCATCAGCCAGCAGGTCTGTGGCTGCTGTTTATGACATGGTTTACAACCTTGGGAATGGCATCTCTGCCACAGGAGCCACTCACACTCAAGGTATGAACCATCACTCAAAGATCACCTTGAGGACACATCACCTTCTGAAAGACTATCTTTCCTTCACTGACCAGTATGAGCACTTTTGTACAAAATCAACTAACCAGACATGTGTGCACCCATTTCTAATCCACTCACTTGTATAGTTATCTGTTAACCAAGAACATGTAGTCCTGATTACTAGTTCTAGACTAGGCATCTAACAAACTTAAAATCAGGTAATGTGAGTCTTCCTTTGTTGTTGTTGCTTTTTGATGGGTTTGTGATTGGGGCTAACCCTGTAGCCAGCCCAGGCAGGGCCCCAAGTCAAGAGCCTCCTGTTTCTACCTCCATTGTGTAACTTACAGTTTAACCCTTTGCCAACCTGCAATAAAAGATTCCTTCAATCATGCAGGCTTAGGGAACAGTAGTTTTCAGAGATTGGGTCTTGCCCTCATCCTGGGTTGAGACCTCCTTCTTTGAGCTTGGAGCTTGTCTTCAGAAGTTCTGTGAGGCCCTGATGGGGTGGGAGCTACTCCTGGGCTCTAGACTGTTCACCTAAATTATCAGGCATCTAGAGAATAAACAGCAACTCACTTCCTGGTGCTGGGCCTGACTCTGTGAAGATCTGGGTGCCCTGTAGAAATCTGCTCTGCCCTGGTTAGGTTGAAAGGGCATCTGCTCCCGCAACCAGCAACTGAGTTTCTCACAGAGATGTTTTATAGCCAGCAGTGCTTCCTGCCATCAGGAGTCAGAAATCCTGGTCAAGTAAGTGGCCAAAATCACTGCCCACGAGGACAGGCCTTGTACACTG